TGACGGCGGCTGCCCACCATCGTCAGGATCAGTCATGATGATTTATGTGCGTATGTGGGTACTTTATATTAAATGAATCACACGAATCACAATCAAAAGTAATTTATTGTCACAAGGTACTTAATTTACGAGTAATGTAAGAAATCAACGCACTAGTAATTAAAGGATCACATATATAGTCCGTTTCAATTGTTTTCTACACAAAAAGACACACGATTACGCGGAACAAAAGCGATTCGTCGAACACGTGGTGCGCGCCCGTCAAACGTCCCGAACTACACTGAGTCCACGTTCAACATGGCCGCGCCGACCATCGACTCGACGCTTCGCCAGATTGAGTGTTGCCAATCTAGTTCCAAACGTAATTCAGAGATGGCGCTAGCAATGCGCCGTCATGTGCGTGAAACTTGGTATATACAAAAATATTTACACTAAATATATAAAACGAATACATAGATAAATGAAACAGCGTAAGTGTAAACTAATTTAATTACTTATTGATAGGTATACATATGTTATATGAAGATGTAATTAATATTGTGTGCAGTAAGTAATAAATAATGTGTGAGAAATAAATAAACATTTCGAACCTGTCATGTTACCTGAAGACGTCGATCGTTCGTCGTCTTTCATCTATTTACCGCTAGATAGCAGCACATTGAATATATTCTCAATATAATGTCGATAAGAAAACAAAAATAAATAAACAAAATGTCGTAACTAGCAATAAAAGACATTCAACTTTCAACAGTATGCCAACATGGTACTTTAATTTAAATAAATAGTTTTATAATTTTAGTTTGCAATAGACGATCAACACATTACAGCAGCGTTTCTTATTTCCAGGAAAAGTCTAGTTTTCACTCAAATGATGACGCTATCAAACGTGGTGACACGCGTGCTCATTGCTGCCATCTTGTCTCTTGTCACTGGCACCATCTTCTGGGACCTGCCGGTCACTGATGCCAAGGTATTTAATATAGTATACTTTGGTTCATTTAATTGCTTGTAAACTGAACTGATTTAGTTAATTCAGCCACTAATACCAGTACGGCTAGAGTCCTCAATGTCGAATTAAATCGCTTTTAATATAGCTAAAAATTTGCTCCAATTCATACGAAAATTGCAACGGACTTTGTTAAAATTTGTAAAATCGTTACCCTAAATTTAAAAATATGTTAAGCCTTTACTATAAAAGTTATAGTCTTTTAACTAGATACTCATACTGTTCAAATTAAGAAAATGCCATATCCTACTCACTCAATCCGACACTGCGCGGTATGTCTCTGTGAATACAGTATTGAAAAAAATTGTGACAAAATTGTAAATTCATGGAGTTAATTATCTCTTCAAACATGATTGCCCAATCTGATAATGTAACATCTCACGTTTTTCAGCTCACACAAAACGACAGAATTGGGTACCATTACACAGTGATGTGCCTCACAATTTGGCCAATCCTGATATGGCTGACAGCTAGAGAAGCAAGTTCTATGAGACACCATGTCGAAAGAGATATTGCTGTTGGCCTGTATTCCAGAAGCGTTTTTATTCTTTATGATGTAAGTTATATAAGGTGCATTGTAACACATTTAGGTATTTATTTATTTATTTAAAGTTTATTGCACACAAAACCCGCCAGCACATCGGGCTAGACGCAGCCTGAGTGTCTAATCCAGTTTTCCGTATGAAACTGTGCTGTGAAATAAGTAATATTCGACCAAATTTAAGTAAAAAGTACGAAGCTTCATTCGCATCATATGCCTCTTAATTTTTAACCGACTTCAAAAAAGGAGAAGGTTCTCAATTAGACTATGATTTTGTATGTATGTATGTATGTTACGCGATAACTCCGGTATTTGTAAATCGATTTTCATGATTCTTTTTTTGTTGGAAAGGGGGTACCTCCATAGTGACCTCCATTTAATTTTAAAGAAAATCATCCACCTCTGAGGGTGGCTGTTCACGCATGAAGATTCATTTTTATAAATAGCGCCTAAATTTTATTATACGCAGCAATTATTTTAATGGTTAATTTTGCTATTCTCCAATTCAAGGCGTTTTTCTCTCTCTCAATATACTTTGAGTAGTGAGAACCGATTTTTATTATCTCCTGTGTCAAGTCCCGTATAGTGACGTAGTGACGAACTAGGGGATGAATCCGGGTTTGCGCACTTTCCGGTAACCGATTTCAATAAAACTTGGTAATTAATAATGTAAGTACTTTTGAGGTCGGTTTTTTTAGTACTCTGTACTGAGATTATGTTGAGTACTACTTATTTGACAGTAAGACAGTGTTTCGTACAGATGTCAGACGGAGAACGAAAGTACAGGGCCTGATTCAACTATGATTAACCAAATTGGCGCCTCCAAAACTAACCTGTATTTTTTTATTGGTGTGACTAATGGTGCTGAATAAAGTTCATAATGATTACCACTTTCAACTACGTCACCTATAACTTCTTGTTCTATATTCCAGCAATTCCTAGAGGTTTGGTCCGCTGTGATAACGTGGCTGGCGTATTTGGTGCCGAGTTATGCCATGACAGGTCTATACGCGCAGTCGGCAGGATCTTTCGATGGATTTTATATTTATTTAGGTAATATATACTTTACACCATAGTTTCCCAAAGTCCCTACCGCCTCCCCAGTGAGCGCTGAAGAGTCCTAGGGGGCGGCAGGGGCCTCGGAAGCAATTTGAAAAAAAAAAACCTGAATCTATATCAACTTATACAGGGTGACAGGAATTGAAGGAGATAGATATTTAAACAGGCAAATGAGTAGCTGATATCCATACCGAATATGTGAAAAAAAAAACACTACCATATTTTTAAATACTATTCTCTATGGAAAATACTGCCTCTTAACAATATGTAATACTCTGCGCAAGATCGAACATGCAGCGAGTGCCCGCTACCCTTACCGGCCTTTGCACGCGTTTTCCCAAGGGTTTCGCACCGAATAGTACTCTTTAAGTAGGAAGGCTTCACACGCGGGAGTTCAATTTCCAGCCGCTCAGCTGTTCTGTTTCATAGAGTAGCCCAAATGATTCTCTTATGTTTAGGGGCGATACTTTTTACATATTCAGATTGGATATCAACCTACTCATTTGCCTCTTTAAATATTGATTTCGTTCAACCTCTCACCTTGTATATATATTTTTTATCTTGTGATTTTTTTTGTTTCAAGTTAAAATAAAAATATGTGTTTTTAATTATTATTTTAAGTGGGCGGACAGCCAAAAAGTTTGGTAACCTATGATTAACACCTCTCGGCATCAAAAACCAAATAAAAGTCGTTTATTTGACAACTTCCGCTTTGTATTAAGTTTAAACTGTTTCAGTCTCAAAGATATAATTCATGTTTTCTCAAATTAATGGTAAATATCTATCTTTTAAACATATTCCCGCGTTAACATCGTTCCTTTATTGCAGGATACATGCTCCTCTATCTAATAAGCATACAAATGCTCTGTCGGGCGGCTATATTCGTCATTCCCTTCGAAAAAACAGCGTCAGCCATATCTGGCTTATGTCTACTCCTAAGTACGCTAGTCAACGGCGTCATGATACATCAGGGAGATCTGCCCGAATACGTCAGATGGTTGGAGTACGTCTCACCGAGTAGATGGACGCTGCCAGAATTGCTGCAGAGGGAACTTAGCGAAATCGCACTCAAGAGCAGTATTAGTAAGGATATTAGATGCACTAATAAGCAGGTGAGATTCTTTACGTACTGTATTCATACATAGTTACGAAAATTGCCTTGAAAACAAAAGTTACTGTAAACACGAGAAAATGAAAATATGAAAAATGTTTGAATTATAACCATCTGGTAACACTGTACACAATATTAATTCGCTATCATTGTCATGTTGTATGCAAAACTAGATAACAACGGAATAACAAGTAATCGGACAACAGTTTACAATAACAGTTATTGAAAAATAACATAGTATAATGCATTATTGACAAATAACCGTTATTCCTTTATTCCTATTCGTTATAAATGTGTGACTTCTAAAAATCAACTCAACAAGCTTTAACTGCTTTTCCCATCTCCTTGTAAAGTTGATTTTCTTTACTTGTCCCCTTTTCACTAGAGCCACAGACATAACCTCCAATAAAGAGTTATTACGGCGGAAAATTACAACAAACAAATAAAGATAAACAAATTGCACTAACGACATATTTTAAGTACTAATTACACATACAATCTCACTTGCGACTGTGTTTGATTAGCACGATATCATTTCATTGAATCATCATGGTTACGTTTAAAGCTCTATTTCATCTTACAAAGGTATATTATTACACATTTATTGAATTAAAAATATTCGTTTCTATTTCCACAGAGACCATACCAGGACATAATAGTACAATCACCCTGCCCACCACCCAACGGCACTCAGGTCCTATCCAACTTCGACTATCTCCGGACTAAAGATATATGGCAGTGGAATTCTGAAGGTTTCCTCATAGCGTTAGCTGTGTTCTATGCAGTGTTTGCTCTAGTCGCCATGCTAGCTTTTGTTGCTGACTGTACAAGGTACAGAAAGAGAAAGGAACGAACGTTTCTCAAAGGGCATAAGGTGACAATCAATGTACCCTGATGTAGTAAGAGTAAAAAAAAAATATAAGACAGAATAAGGATCATTTCTAGGAGTCATTACATTAATTTTCTTGGTAAATCCAACTTCTTATCTTGCAGATGCTTTGTCTTATTTTAAAAGGAAACGAAGTAGATTGAACGGTTGCATTTGTTTAAACGCGAATTCATGTATCATTGCAAAATTTACTTTTCAAATGTACTGGTTTTCATTATATAAAAAGAACACTCAACATCGCTCTTGAGACGGCTCCGTTATTTCAGAGTGTTTTCGTATGTGATTTCGTTGCTCACATCCTTCGTTATGAATGTGGTGGTTTCTTTATGGTTCAATTTAGAGTAATTGTGTCGATTCTGTTATTTGCACATTTTTATAAACTACAATATGCTTGTTACATCAGTCAATTATGTGCTAAAGCAGAATCGAAAAGATATTAACGTTGGGGATTAGTTTAAGAATCAATGTACAAAAATATAATTATAGTCATAATTGAATTACTAATAATGTGAAAGGCTGACTATGTAATGTCTTCCGTCCATATTATAATAAATTTAATCCAGTATGAAAGCAGGTACTTATAAAATATAGTACACGAGATACATCGCTTGATGGTTTTGTAAAACTAGGTTTTTTTACATCAAGGAACAATAGACCCTTATCTAGTAAAAGGGTTTAATTAATTGCAAAGGGGTTGTTTCATTATTGGTGAAGTGTACAAGTGTACATCATTAAAAAAAATGATGTAGATAATGACTTTTTTTTATTAATAACCTCAGTACAGAGTACTGACAAAACCGACCTCAAAAGTCATCCGTACCCTACTTTGCCACCCTGAGAGGTGGAATATTTTCTTCAAATGTAAATGGGACCACTTCTGAGGTACCATCTTTCCATCAAAAAAAGAATCGTCGGAGTTATCGCGTATCATATATACAAAAAAACTGTCGAATTGAGAACTTCCTCCTTTTTTCGAATTCGGGTAAAAACCGACCTAAAACCTTTGTGGAGTAACATATATTTGCCAAGTTTTATTGAAATCGGTTTACGGAAAGTCGGTGAAATCCAATAAACCGGATTCATCCCCTAATTTTCCGCCCTTAAAAATGGAATATTTCCTTCAAATTTGAATGGGACCACGACTCTAAGGTATCCATTTCCAATAAAAAAAAAGAATCGTCGAAAACTTACACACCATCAAAAAAAAATTATCTGAGGTAGAAAATGAAAAATCAAACCAGTAAAAGGTGGCACCATTCGATGCAAACTATTTTTTTAACTAAGAATTAAATCATAATAATTGTGGTGGTTAGATGGGATATGTATACTTTGTTTCAATTCATTTTGAACAAAAAGTAAACAAACAAGTCACTGACCCGACCATAGACGGTTTAGTGATGGCCAATTGTAACGCCAACTACAAATCGATTAATTAATTGAATGAATCGATTTCAAATCGTTACACTTAGATACTCGTTCGATTGTGATTGAAATGTTCGATTCAATAATCGATTACTAAACTTTAATTGATTGAACCGAATGTTTTTTTCGAACAGCACTATGCAACCATAGGCAAGTCATAGAAGTATAGATGAATAATAACCTCACTTCTAGACCACCATTTTTCAAATACGATTTTACGATGCTATTCAAATGAACATTGTTGGAAAAAGTGATGATATATCAAGTCGAAATCTTCGAAATGTACGTGAAAGTATTACTTATTCGATTTATTGAGTGACTGCTTTAGAATTTTAACCAAACAAGTTTGTTTACTTTTTGTACAAAATGGATTGGAACAGACTATAGCACAAATCTTTCCGTAGTAGGTTTCTGTGTAAAGAAATCATTGTCTGTGATTCATCAATGCTCTTGTGGTCTATTTAGCTTTATTTTCAGTGCGCTAGAGTCTTCTTATCGTATCGATGGTAGGTAAACACTAATAGGGTCGTATTCCAGAATCTACTCTATGCTCAAGTCAGGATTTGAGCAGACTTGAGTATGATTTCAAGCACTGGAAATACAACTCTAATGGCAA